ATCCTAGCTCATTTGGTCTAATTATTCGAATGCTTCAAGAATATTCCTAGAGAATATTCCAGAAGCAATTTGAGGTAACCGAGCCGAATCCCGAACATACCGCTCGCCTCGAAACTCGCATTTCGAAACGAGTATACAGGACCGCACGAGACGTCGAGTGGCCAAGAAAGATCTGAGCGGTTGCCGCCCGCTTTGCGGCGATCCCCGTGTATCATTTAATGACTTAGAACATTTGATAAAATATGATATAGTGATATCATATTGATGCATGAAGATACAAAGAAAACGAATGCAATTTAGAAGAAAAGAAAAGAACAACGGAAGCACGCTATACGCAACTAATAACATACAAAAGGAAGAGAAAGAAGAAGCAAGAGAAAAAAAAAGAAATTGAAAGTCCTCCAGAGCGGATGCTAACACAGAGGGGAAAGAGGTCGTATCTCTTTCTTCCTCTTGCTTCTCTTGGACATATCTGGAGCTTAAGACGTCTCCGGTTCGCCCTCAATCGGCAGCACGCATATTTTGACAATCGGTCGCAAGTATTCCGCGGTGGCCGTTTTGACGGTAACGACACGCGTTAACCCGTCTCGTCCGGGGTGACACCTCGTCACTCATCCCAATTCCCATTTACACGGAGGCAGTGCGGGATTGCGAAGGAGGACGAGCTGCTCTACCTTGATCGGCGGCTGAGTCCGTCGCCATTTGCTCCTTTGCTGAAGCGTATTAATATAGTCATGAGCCCATAGTTTCCAGAATCGCTCCGAGAGTTGCCGAATGAGCTGCCATCGAGTGAGACGGTTCTCCTTAACGTTGAGCAGTGAGGGCTCAGGGCTTGCAGTTATCGCGGATCCGATCAAGAAATGACCAGGCGTCAACGGTTCATAACTATCGAGAGTGTCGTTCAGAGGTGCAATCAGACGAGAATTTAGACACGCTTCAACCTGATAGAGTAGAGTTGTAAACTCTGAATAGAGAGTTGTAAACTCCTCAAAGCAGAGTGCATGATCTTTCAGAACGCGGCGCAAGTGATGTTTTAGACTTCGAACTCCAGCCTCCCATATTCCTCCGAAATGTGGAGCTGCTGCTGGGATAAAGTGCCATGTGATATTATCACTAGCCGTCGCGTTCTGAAAGTCCGGATCATGGAGAGCAGCTTGATAAGCACTGCGCAACTCACGGTCAGCTCCGACAAAGGTAGTTCCGTTATCGGAATACATGTCTTGCGGCAGTCCGCGGCGAGAGCAGAAGCGAGAAAACGCATTGAGGAATGAAAGCGTCGCGTAATCAGAGACTAATTCTAAATGAATCGCTCGCGTGGCTAAACACACAAACAGCGCTATATATGCTTTTCTCGTGGTAATGCCTCGTCCTGCGGACGGCCGCACTCTTACCGGGCCCGCGTAATCGACTCCGCAGTGCTGAAACGCGCGAGACGGAGTTTTTACTCGTGCTATAGGAAGTTCACCCATGAGCTGAGACGGGGTAGCAGCTCGCTCACGAGCGCATACCACACATTTGAAAATGATGGCCTTGACGAGGCTGCGGGCGCGAAGAATCCAAAACTCGCTTCTCAACACACTCAACGTTAGCTGTAGTCCGGCGTGTAAGGATCGGTTATGAGCTTGTTTGATGAGCAGAGTGACGAGGGGATGAGACGCGAGGAGAATTGGATGTCGACGATTATAATGAATGGGCGCATTTCGCAACCGCCCGCCTACTCGGAGGAGTTTGTCTTCATCGAGGAATGGGGATAACGATGAGAGAGGAGTTTTAGGAGACAGTGTTCTGTTTTGAGTAAGATCCCGAATTTCGATAGGAAACAGATTTGATTGTATGCGTTTGATCCAGAACTGTCTGCTCTGATTACATTCCGCTGCGGTGAGAGCACGAGTTTTAACCGCGATAGTATTAGAGCGACAGGGCGTCCTGCGAAGGCGAGATATAAATTTAAAGAGATATGCAGTAATGCGAATGAGTTTTGGCCACGAAGAAAATCGAGAAGAGAGATCATCAGTGGTTTGGTGATTTGCAAGATAAACTGCTATGACCTTTGCTTCCGGCAGCGGCTTGTCGTCGACAAATGATGGAGACTTTGGCCAGTGGAGCTCAGAGCGCGACAACCACGAAAGGCCCTGCCACCATAACGAGTGAGCCAGCAGCTCCTTCCCTATTAAACCCCGAGAGGCACAGTCCGCGGGATTGTCCTCCGTGGGAACGTATCGCCACTCAGCGGTGGACAACCGTGCCTGCACCTCGGCGACTCGGTTAGCAACAAACGTTTTCCACTGCGATGGGTGGTGCTTAAGCCACGATAACACGATCGACGAGTCCGTCCAGCAGAAGCACGAAGTTATTCTCGTCTGAAGTGATTTGTTAACGAAGTCGAACAATCGAGATAGTAGAACCGCTGCGGATAGCTCAAGACGAGGGAGAGTAAGCGGCGTCAAAGGAGCTACTTTAGATTTGGCCGCAACTAATGAAACGCTTACCGTGCCTGAATTGGTAATCACCCTCAGATAGATCACCGCTGCATACGCCTGAGTGGACGCGTCGGAAAACCCGTGAAGTTCCGCTCTAAAAACATCTGCATCCAATCTGAGCCATCGGGGAATTGTGATGCTGCGTAAAACTTCAAGGCCCGAGTAGATGAGGTTCCACCGTGATTGAAGTCGCGAAGGAACCGGATCGTCCCATTCTGATTTTTCGCGCCATAACGCCTGCATTAAAATTTTGGCCGCAACAGTGATGGGGGTTAGCCACCCTAACGGATCGTACAGTTTGGCGATTGTGGAAAGAATGGATCTTTTACTGTCGGAAGCGGGAGCAGAGGGTGAGACGTCTATCTGGAATACGTCGAGGAACGGATTCCATTTGATTCCCAGGAGCTTGATCTTTTCATTAGCTCCCAGTTCCTTGGAGCAGGCTAACCCGTGGTCGCTCGCGTCAATGTCCGACAGGAGATCAGTCGAATTACTAGTCCACTTTCTTAATTCAAAACGACCCTGTCGAAACAGCGAGACTACTTGATGATGAATCTGCCTAACATGGGACTCGTCATCGTCCCCGAACAGCACGTCGTCGACGTAAAGACTGTCGCGAAGGACCGGAATCGCCAAAAAAAATGAGGACCCTTCGTCTGCGACTAATTGTTTAATGACACAAAGAGCTAAGAATGGAGCGCAAGTCAGCCCATATGTGACGGTACGAAGTTGATAATCCAAAGGTGCGTTGTTAAGCGACCGATTCCAGAGAATGCGCTGATAATTGCAGTCGCGTCGATCGAGAGCAATCTGGCGGTACATTTTTGCGATGTCGGCAGTGTATACGAATTTAAATTACGCCATTAAGTAATTACCGCCGAAAGATCATTTTGGAGTTTTTCACCGCAAAGCAAGTGGTCGTTTAAACTCGAACTATTAGTGGTTAAACTTGAGGCATTAAAAACGACTCTCAAATGCGTCGTCGCGCTATCCGTTCGAATAACCGGATGGTGAGGTATGTATACGCATTGTTCGTCAGGATCCGAGGGTGTTAGTACAAGACGCATATGACCTAACTGTTCATATTCTTTTAAGAACTCGTCATATTCTGCGAACAGCGCAGGCTGAGATTGTAACCGGCGTGATAATGACTTCAGGAAAATTTGTGCTTTCTCTCGCGAATTTCCGATGTCCACCGGAGGACCCTTCCGCAAAGGAAGCCGAACTATATAACGGCCGTCAATCGCCCGAGAATGCGTGGTGAGGAAATGCTGTTCGCACTGCTCATCCTCCGCCGACCGCGAGATTTGACGAGGAATCTCCTCAACATCCCAAAATTTTCGAATTTCGTCATTGAGCGAAAGCGAAATCAAACAGTGATGCACTGACAAGCTTAAGGCTGCCCGTTGTCGAACGATATTAGCTGAAGGTGTCGAAGAAGGTTCGGACAGGGATTGAATAGGGCCTGACAGGATCCAGCCAAAAATGGAATTTTGAGCGGTGGGCTGGTCTGGCGTGCCCTTGCGACGGCCGTCCAGAACGATCTCATTATATAAGTCCGAACCGATGATTAGATTAATAGGATCGCTACTTGTGGGATCAGGATCGGCAAGGGATAATCCAGTCAAATAAGGAAAGTGCGTGAGATCTCGTTGCCGTTGGGGCGCGTACAAAGAGATCTTTTAGAATGACCGCGCTTGTTGAGTATGCCGGTGTAAACGAGTTTAGCGGTGAGAACGTAATGTTGGTCGTGAATCGCGCAGTGCCCGCGTGCACCGCTCCAACAACGGAGATCGATATAGGCAAGCGATTTCGTTTAGCGCGCAAAAGTTGAGCGATATTTTCCACAAGAAAGGTCACCTGCGAGCCTTGGTCAAGCAACGCTCTTACCGCTACTGTGCGTTCGGCCGACACGCTTACTGTTACCCATGCCGTCGCGAGGAGAATCTGACTTAATGATTTGTGAAGCGATGCGGTGTGAGACACTCGAACGTCGGATTGAGGCTCGACGGCAGGAGTTGGCCGGCTAGCAGCGGACAATGCCCCTGATGTTTCATCGCGCAAATCCGAGTTTAGATGTAACATACTATGAGATCTCTGAGCACACATTCGACACGAGTATTTGCTGCGGCAATCCCGTACCGCGTGATTTTTGCTAAGACAATTGAAGCATCGACGATGCTGCTTTGCTAAGTTGCGACGTTGACTTGGATTCGCGCGAGTAAACGTTGGACATGCACTAAAAGAATGCCTCGCTTGACAGAGTGGGCATGCGGATGAAGAGGTCTCGGACGCAGTTGCTAAGTGCACTTTTGTCGCGGCGATCGATTTCGACGCTGGCTTCTGAACCGGCCCACTGGCAAACTCCTCGAGAGCGCGAGTGCGATTTCTAAGGAATTGAGTTAAATCCGCAAACAACGGCG